GAGGTGCTAGGGATCAAACCCAGTACTTCAAGCATGCTGCACAAGCACTCTACCACTGACCAATAATACTGTTAGCCTCTTCCGCTCTGTTTTGATAACTATAACTATGTAGCAAGCTTTGAACTCAGAAAGCATGAGTCCTCTAGCTCTGTTATTTTTCAAGATTGTTTTGACAATCTGGGGCCCACTGGGATCCTGTATAAACCTGAGGATGGGTTCTTATATTACTATAAAAATCACTGAGATTTTGACTACATTAAATCCATAGATTACTTTAAGGAATATGACATACTTTTATTAATAGGGCAGAGTACATATTTTTAACAGAATACACTAATAAAAGCAGACATTTTGCTATTCAACAGTCAAAACACATAGTGGGAGGATGTTTTTATTTAATCTGATAATTTATCTGTTTTTTTTTTTAAGGAAAAAAACCCCTCAAATGTTGAAGAAGTCATTTTTAAAAGAATAAAATTTCATTAGGACAGATTCCTTAGGAAAATTACCACACAAATGATGGAAATTGAAACTATCTTTAGAAAATTATTATTAGAGGAAAATGAGAAATAGGTTAGAGTCTAGAGAGGACACGGGAAAGGAGCCCTATAGAGCAGGCAGGCTAAGGGAGGTGGATAAACAGTGTGGCAGGGTATGGAGAGTGAGCAGCGTGGCAGGCCACAGTGTTTTGAAGAAGCATGGAATTCTCTAATGTGCCATATTTCATCTATCTTTATTTTCTTAAATGGAAACTTCTATACTATTGCAGCCATGACTCACATTTCATAAGGAATATGACTGGTTATAAGCACTTCTGAGAGACCTTACTTTTTGATAGTTTTAAATGTTGCTTTCTTTTTGCTGGGGTCAGGGTAGGAAGCAATAAGATAAACCCTCCTGGTCCCTATCTCTTTCCACTTCCCAGGACACTATGATATGAGCACCAAATGGAGACTGTGGTCAGATGTGATGAAGAGACCTAAGACTACTGCCTTGCCACCAAACATTTATAATCAGACCTTGACCGCTGATCCATTACCTCACGTACAAATAGACTTACTGTGATGCAACTTCCAGCAGGAGCCTGAGCACAATCTAGACACACACATAACTATAGAGTCCTTTAAAGAGGTCTGGAGGTATGGGAATTATCAAAATTTAATCTAAAAAATAAGTAAAAAAGAGGAAATATCTTTCTACAAATCATAGGGGATAAAAGGCTAAACAAATACAGACTAATGCAATCAGTGTGAATATGATTGCACAGTCTTAACAATACTCATCTCAACAGCATTCCGAAGTGGCAAACCTTCCATTTTCCATGCCTGACCTCACTAACTGGTGCTAAGAAAGTGTGGAGATTTTTCAGCCAATAAAACTCACACTGAAGTTTAGGTGTCACTGAAATGCACTCCAAGGCACTTGCTCATATGGAAGTATGAAATGAAATTAACTTTATTTTTTATTTATATATAAATACCCTTGAATCCAATTTTATTAAAGGTTAAGTAAGGGATCAACCTACTACACAGAACCTAAACTTAAGTTATATGTAAAAATGGCTTGTTTCAGCTTTGCTTCACACTGGAGAGCTTATATTTTTATTACTTTGGTGCTATGTGTTATACTCTCTGCAGAGGCTGTAGCTGGCAAGGATGTGGATATTATGTCACATAAAATATGTATTAAGATAATTAAGAATGGTGAGTGACACAATTACCAAGTCTACATAAAATGCTGCAACAATTTTAATTTTCAATGTATTTGAAAATTTTCACACACAAAAGAAAACAATCTAAATGTTTTAGGTTATGTATTAACATTCCATTTTAATGAGTGCTGATGAAACTTATTTTCACTGTTTTTTATGATTAACATGAATATCTGAGAAGGAAGCAATGTAAGGAAAACCATACCTACCTGAAAGTAGTATTTTTACACATTCATGTGATAAACACACACATACACATACAGAGTGTACCTCAAAAGGAACACAATAAAACCACAAGTAGACAAAAGGTAGAAATCACAACCTTCTACTCAGATAATAACTTATATTGTTTTTTATCTATATAGGTGAAAAAAGGGAAATAAGCATTCACAAACTAATTGTCATGGTTTGAATATGAAATGTCCCCCCACAAACTCATGTGTCGAAGACTCAGTCCCCAGCCAGTGGAGCTACTTCTGGATGTTCTGAAAACTTAAGGAGGTAGAGCCTCATTGAGGGAAGTAGGTAGGTTTGGGGGCAGTGTGACTTTAAGGTAATACCTAGTCTCCAGTCCTGTCCTCATCCCGTCCTCACTTTTGGCTTCTTGTTTAACATGAGTGAAGAACCTTTTTCACTACTCACTCTCACTGCCATCGTGATCTATTCAAGCACGTGGGGTCCAGCACCCATGGATTGAACAGTCTGAAACCACAAGCCAAAATAAATCTTTCTCCTTTAAGTTGTTCTCTCTGGCATTTTGGACATATAGCTATGAAGTACACTAACATAAACAAAGGATAACTTATTATATTGTGTTAATCCAGAGTCACACAAAGGCCAAAGACATAAACTAATATGCTTTAAAATTTTAACAGCAAGGAGTAAAAAAATGAAATCAAGATAACTATAAAACTCAAGGGAAAAGAGTCTACTCCACCTCTTAAGGATCTACTTTGATAATTTACAAATCCTAACATAAAAAAGCCTTACTATAAATAACAGTGAAAATGGAGATCTACCACAATTTTGGGTGTGGGTGAGAATGATTACATCATGAATTTGTTTCCAGTATTTTTGGAAAGCCAACTGCCTTTGGTTAAAAATATGAAATACTGCCACAGTAACAAATAACAGAGAGAGAGAAAGAGAGAGAGAGAGAGAGAGAAAGTACTATGATACTCTACTCAAGAAGAAAACAATCAACAATTACAAAATCATTTTCAATGTATGAAGGTGTTTTTGAAGCCAATTTATTTACCAAAAAATAGAGCTTAAATTAGTCAGATTCTGGCTGGGCTCCAAGCATTAGCATTTCTAACCAATTTTTCTGATTATAACTCATTAACACAGCACTGTCAACCCCAAAATTCCAGCTGACTACAATCACTTCCAAATTCCAGACTATCCTGATATTCCTAACCACTACTATCAATAAACTCTCATCAGAAAAAGGGAAACAAAATTAATATATTGTTTTAAGCACAAAATAACAACCTAAATCTGCAAATAAATTCTTCATATGTGACATTTTATGCATTATTCACGCTTAACATTTTATTTAATTTTGACCATCAAGAGACCCAAAAAATATTCACAAGGTGAAATTTTTTTTTGTTTGGTAGCAATTTGACCTCAACAAATGTGAAGAAAGGACATCATGTAATCTAATCATGCTTCATAATTAAGGAAACAAGGTCCAAGGAGGACTAACGCGTCCCAAAGGCCACAGAGCCAGTAAATGGTAAAAGTGGGTTTCGAACCAAGGTCTTGTCCTTCCTACTTGGCTAGGTCAGTTGTCTGCTCACTCTCTTTTATTCTTCCAACCCTTAGCTATCTTTCTTCCATCAACCCCTTCCCTTTTAGAGAAAATATGACAATGACAATGGCAAGCACACTTTCATATACACTGGGGTCAGGGCAACTGGCTGAATATATTTAAAAGAATACATAGCCATGGCTATGACATAAAAATACACTTTATCATATGAAGTATTCTGGATAGTCACTGAATAAACATCTATTTAAAAAATGTATCTGTAAATACATATCAACATTGAATAGAAATCAAGTATCAAATAGAAATGTACAGACTCACCAAATTACTGTAACAAGTACCTGAATTACACAGATATCTGAATATGTCACAAAACAACATGCATAATATCAACAAGAATGCTTAGGGAATGAAAAACATACTAATTTTACAGTTAACTCAAGGTAAACAGAAAGGTCTCTTTGCTTCAATTTTTGCTACAGGTTTTCTCATGCACTCATGTTAAAGGCACTACATGGAAATTAAGTTACTCTAAGGACCATAGCTACCTCACACATGTGCACAAGTGGTGCACAAGGACACAACCCTCAAGCTATCACAGAGTTTTTAAGTTATTTCAAATGCCACTGTGTTAGTCTGCTCAGGCTGGCTAAGTTCCTGACTAAGGACCACAGACTAAAAAGCTTAAATAAAATACATTTATTTTCTCTCAGTTCTAGAGGCTGAAGTCCCAGATCGAGGTGTCAGCAGATTTAGTTTCTCCTCTCATTCCTTGATTTGCAAATAGCTACCTCCTAGCTGTGTACTGACACGGTCTTTCCTCCATACCAGCATGCCCCTTGGGCCTCTTATCCATATCTCTTTTTGTAAAGGTACAGTTTTACTGGATTCATATCACCCTAAAAGACTCATTTTAAGTTAAGCACCTCTTTTAAGGTTCTATCTGCAAACACAGTCACATTCTGAGGTGCTGGGGGTAAGGACCTCAGTATACGAAAGAGAAGGAAGCATGCAATCCAACCCAGAAGAGATAATTTGTCCATTTTCAACAACTGAGGAATTAGAGCTGTAGAAAGACTGCTTTAAGGTATTTAGTCATTCATAAACACTGACTTTAGGACAATCTGTGTCACCAAAGATAAAGGAGCTGTCTGTCCCTAAGGTGCCCAAGGTGCAGTAGTTCACATGATACACAAGCAAGATAATTAGAACCAAAGACTTATCCAGAGTATAGGTAGCAGGGAAGAGCTTAGATGTGACTCTCTGGAGGAGGTAACAGATAACCATGTCATAGTAAACAAAGCAGAGTCTGTAGGAATAAGGGAAAATCCCCCAAAGCCAAAAGCAAGACCACAAGAGCAACAGGGAAGCATGAGAGAGAAGTTAGAGAGACATGTAGGGTGATTATTATGAGCCTATCAGCTACACCAAGGAGCTCTACTTTCTCTGCACATAACTAAGAAACAACAGAAGGGTTAATGCAGCAAAGAATGGAGTCCAAACTCCATTTCCAATATGGAGCACTGTAGTCACTCTGTACAAAGCAACCGCCACCACCACAAAGGCTCACTGGTAAGTGGCCTTGAGCCCTGAGCCACTTCCCTAGTGATCTGACACTAATCATGGTGGAATGAGTTATCAAATGTTCTTCACAAATTAGGCTAGACCTGAGATTAACCCTTCAATGTTTATATTCAGGGACTTGCATTTCCAAACACTATTTTTGAGTGGCTCAGAAATGGGTAGGAAACACAGAAAGTAATGTTCTGGTAATCCATTTCCATTTCCATACATTTCCACTGAAACCTCAGGTGCACTGTTTACTAACAATGACCTTGGACAAGACATTTATCATCTCTGCCTTGTCTGCAAGATGAGTTCCAGAAGTATTCACCCTATGCAGTTACTAGAGGATGAAAACCATTAATAACTGTTAAGATGAAGAACAGTGTCTGTCACAAAGCAAGTATGACAGAGATATGTGCTATTCAGTACTACATGACTATTGCTACCACTGCCCTATTGTCATAATAAAACAGGTGGGGACTTCCAGTCTAGACAGTTGACTTGATCAAGTATAGAAGCTGACACCCAGGCTTATAGGTGAAAAATGCAAGAAGGTGATGTCACCAACATAAATGCAAAACTAAGGAGGAGCACAATTTCAGCTGTGGGAGATATGAGGAGGGCCATGAGAGTGGAGATCCACTGGGTAGTGAAATTTATAATCTGCAGTACCAAGTGAGAAAATTAGCCAGACTGTGAATATAGAGTTTTGTGTTAGGCAGCAATCTGTAAGTATAACAAAAACCTGAGATAATCAACTTATAAAGAGAAAAGTTTTAATTTGCTTCCCAGTTTTGGAGGTTTAGTCTACAACTGGTTGACCCCTTGCTTCTAGGCCTGTAGTGAGATAGCATATTATGGCTGAACAAAACTGCTCACCTCATGGCTGGGTAATGAAAAAGTGGAAGAAAGGGTTGGGGTCCCAATATCCCCTAATGACCTAAAGACCTCCCACTTTGGGCTGGTGGAATGGCTCAAGTGCTGGATTACCTGCCTAGCAAGCCTAAGGCCCTGAGTACAAACCCCTGTACTGCCAAAAAAGAAGAATGACCTCATACTATACCCAACATATTAAATGTTCCACCACCTCCCAACAGTGCCTCTCTAGAGACCAAGCCTTTAACATGTGGGCCTTAAGAGACACTTAATATTCTAACTATAGCAGAATTAGAACTCATGAGTAAAGAAATTCACAATTAAAATTAAGTACCTCCAAGAAGTGTGTCTTTAGTAACATGCAATGCATCATGTTAGTTGTCATAATTTTTGTTAGGGGAGCAAAGTGTATGGCAATCTGCCTTCACTAGTCTTACTCACATTTTCAACTGGACATTTTCATGGAATGAAAAGAAAATGATACAGACATAAAGACTAAATTTCCCTTTAACTATGCCATGTCTCCTATTTCTTCATTCTGTACACAACATGTTTTCTCAAAAACATTGCTATCACTTTAAATCTTTAACCTGTGTATATTTTTAAAAGAATTATTGTGCCCTTTTAAAAGTTATGGCTCTGTCTTCAGGGGGCTGCCATGTTGGCACCAAATTACACACAGAAGAACAGAAAGTGCCGCACTACAGTTCAATGAAGCATTGGAGCAGGAGCTCTGATGGCAGTGTTCAGATGCTTTTGGATGACAGATGATAATATTAAGCTCATACTTGAAGGCAGCATACAATAATTCTCCATTCCCTGATATTAAAAACCTATAAAGGAACATAAAGCTAGCCTCATACCATAATTTACCCCCTCTGGTTAGGCACTCTTCTGCATTAACCAGCATCAAAGAAGAATGGGAAGTTTCAGATACGTTGGCAGATGTCTGAGCTTGAACAAGACAATGGAGAAATGGGGTTGCAGAAAGACTGATGAGAAAGGTAGAAGGTAAGACGCCAGGTGGGGAAGGCAGAAGATGGCAGACTAAAATGACATTAAAAGATGTACTATCAGCCTTAGGTGTTTTAATGTACTACTTCCTAAGATAACTTATAAGACATACAGTTAAAATAAGATGGAATCATAGAAATTTTCTATTATTTCCTTTCCTTAAAATCTACTGGAAGACTGGAAGACTATGAGCCATAATAAATAAAATCTTTTAGAGCATGAAACAAATAGTTACTACTCCAGTAGCTGATCATTAGCTGAATACAGAGGAACTTAAATCACATCAAGGGAAAGCTTTGGCAGTGGACACATAGGTGCTTGGAATTCAAACATGAGATAGGTTGCTATAAGAGTCCTGAAAGCCCCCACCCAAAAAAGCCTCTGGATGAAGGGCTAAAATCTAAGTGGGACAGCCTGTTAGAAGGAAATGAGAGCAGTGGGTGAGTTAGGAAATCCCTCTCTTTCCACAAGAAGGAAGTGACAGAAATAAGGGAAGGGATGTACGGGTCCCACATTGGTGAACTGAGAGCTTCAAATTTTGCTGCCAGCTGCAGAGTGGGGGAACATCTGAAAAGTGACAGGGCTGTTGCTTAAGCAAATATGTAGTCTAAATGAAAACTGGAGACGGTGTATAGATAATCCATATCCTGGGAGCAATGAAAATGAATGATATACAGCTGTATGCACAATATGGATAAATCTCCAGACAGATCATCAAATGAAAGAATACAGAACACATAGCAAATGGTTCCATTTATGCAAAATTCAAAACAGCAAAACTAAAATATAGCATTAGAAGCTAAGACAATGGTTACCTCTGGGCAATAAGGAAGGCCTAACTAATGACTGGAAGAGGGCCTAAAAGGACTTCTGAGACACTAGAGGTTCTATTTCTTGACTTATGAAGTTGTTGCTTGAGATTTTAACATGTTCATAATTCATAGAGCTACAAGCATGTATGCATTATACTTCAATAAATACAGAGTGTGTGTGAGAGAAAATATATGTGTGTGTGTGCATATATATATATATATAATTTTTTTGAGTAAATAATCCTATGGGCATCCAAGTACAAAAAGCAAGTTATCTAGTAAGTAGAAAAACCAGGCTGGCTCTGACATTACTTCAGCAAAATTTGAGGCAACTCAAGATTTTTATACCCAGACAAATTATCTATCAATTACAATAGCCAGGAGTAATGGCTCAGTCCCCAGGAGACAGAGATCGAAAGGATCCCAGTTTGAGGCCAGCCTGAGCAAAAAGTTAGCAAGACTCCATCTTAACAAATAAGCTACGTTGGTGGCTCATGCCTGTCGCCCCAGCTATTCAGGAGACTGCAGATCGGAAGACTGGGGGTCTGAGTCAGCCCTGGTCCAAAATGCCAGACCTTATCTCAAAAATCACTAAAAGTAAAAAAGGTGTGGCTCAAGTAATAGATTTCCTGCCTAGTAAGCTTGAGGCCCTGAGTTCAAATCCTAGAACTGACAAAGAAAAGAAAAGACATTCCTAAGTGGTATGGTTTCAATATTATGCCTTCCAAAATTCAGGTTGAAACTTAAATCACCAACTAACAGTACAAAAAGGTGTGGCCTTTTGGGGGTGATTTGGTCATAAATGTGGAGTTCTTATGACTGAGATTAGGTTGCCAGCAGCCAAGAGAAGGCACAATGGCACTCCACTCTGGAGGATACAGCACAAGTCACCATCTTGGAAGCAGACAGCAGCCCTCTCAAGATTCCAAATTATTTTGTTTTTTATAAACTACCCAGTCTTGGGTATTTTGTTACATCAGCACAAAAATGGACTGAAGACATTAAGTTTGCAGAAACACTGGATATGTAACACCATGTACCCTATTTGACAAATATAATCAATTAAGCAACATATCAAAAAGCTACTAATACAATTTGCAAAATATAGTTTAAAAGAGATATAAATCAATATTCCAGAATTTCTGCTTGTACTTTAGAAAAATCTTTTCAACTGGTTAGCAGTCTGCAAAAAACTGAAACTAGATCCATGTTTATCACCCTATACCAATATTAACTCAAAATGGATCAAGGATCTTAATATC